TATAGCCCGAGGTGTAATCTTAGGACTTACAATAATCCCGCCGCTCGATCTTTAAAGTTCAGTCTTATTTTCCTTTTCATTTTAGTTTAAAGATTTTAATGGAATATTAACCAACCAAATTCAGTAATGGCATAATGTTTAAAAAGAAAAAGTTTACTTTTATGAAATCAATCTTACTAATCTGTTAAATTATTCCAACTTTCGTGAGACATTATCAACATCGTCGACGACGCCAGCGCAACCTGCGCCCCCCGCCCCCTCAAGACGCGCCCTAAGAGCGCAGGCGCGCAGTGAGCGACGGGCCGCGTCCGCGAAATAATACCAGTGCCACTCATCCTGATGAAGGGCCCCCGATGGGCTCGAAACTAGTCGGTGCCGCCACCGGACGTATATACGTGAGTGTTTAGCCGTGTTTATATATCAGCTTACTAATCTGACTAATATTATAAATGCAAATATTTGGACAGATGGATTGTCTTTTGTTGGAATGTATCTTCAAAACAACTGAACAATTCCCGCTTAAATTTGGCAAAGACGTAGAACATAGTCTGTAAGAACACATAGGCTACTAATTATTTTTTTTAATCAGTACAGACGGAGTAGCGGGTGACAGCTAGTGATCCTATAATTCTTGAAGTTAGAATAAAGACGGTATTATGAGTTTGTTAATATGATTTTTATTATTTAAATAAATATTACTACAATAAACATAAAGAACATTCAATCGTATGGTAAATCCGTGATCAATTTCGTCCCGTTTTCCATCGTTGCAATTTCAACTGACAGTCAAAGCGAATCCTTCTGCTTTCAGAGGCACTAAATTAAATTTCAAATCATAGTTCGCTGAAGCCTAGTCCAAATTATCAATGGACAAAGCGACAAAAGCAAAATGGCTTTACAGACTTCGTATTATTTGTTTATTTTACTAGAAATTTATGTTAAAGCTAAGCGTCCTAAGGTTGGTATCAGTCGGATTAATTACACCATATTTAATTAGAAATTTCTAATATACCTGTATATATC